TGTGTGTGGTCAGTGTGTGAAATTCACGATGTAGTTCAGCACCAAGTGTCTGAATTTAATAAAAGGGGTGGAGACAGACTTTTTTTGTGTTATTTTTAGTTGGACTGTCTTATTTTGAATATTTGAGCAGATTCATTGCTCAATGTAAGGATCTCTCTTTTCTCCAGTCTGAGCCATGTAAAGTGCAAAGTAGTAGTTGAGAGCATGCACTGTTAACTCAGTCATTTAGAGAGAAGAACTGTATGTTCCTGTTACATGAAGCATCATTTACAATTTACGATAGGTAAACCTTCTTACCAGCTGGTTAGAGACGTCAGCATGGTCCTTCCTGGTCATCCCCTCCCCGATGGCTGACTTCATGAGACGAGACAGTGAGGGCAACACGTTGATGGGTGGGTAGATCTGAAAGACAAGTATGAAGGTTGTCTCACTAATACAATATTTAAAACTGTTAACTATAAAGGTAAGTAAAAAGGGAACCAGGGAGTTTTTGTCTTTAAATTAACAAACAATCATATTTATTATCCATAGTTGTAGTTTTAACTTAATATTACATTTATTTGACTGATGATTTCTTTTCCTTCTTTTTCATCCGTCAAAATACTTGCACAAAAGCTTAACACCATTAACATGTCCAGTAGTTTGCTTCTTATATTCTGTCGTTTGGAGGTTGACTCCAATGTGAAATGTCAAGCATTGTGTGGGATTATTTGTTAATGTGTGGTTAGGAATAATACGTATACTCCATGTACAGTATTTATGTTCAAATTCACACAAAATGACTAGTCCAGCATGTGGCCTTTTCAAATCAACCATCTAACTCAGAAAACTGTTCTTACCTAATTGTAGGGGTGACGCGTCAACGTAATGGTGACGCATTTTCTTTTAAGAGAGAATGTTGAATACCTGTCTGTTGTGCAGCTGTCTGTCAACATAGACCTGACCCTCTGTGATGTATCCCGTCAGATCAGGAATGGGATGGGTGATGTCTGTTGGACACAAAAACAAACTTTTATCTCTTACGATTAAAAACACAAGTAGAATTATTTTAAAATAAGAAACACATGTAGGAGTTGAGTTCACACTCTCAGTGAAGAACATCTACAACTGAGATATTATTCTGACACATCTGTTGGCTTTTCGTTTTACAGATTTAACTCTGAATCAAAAGCCTGAGAGCCCTTGGGAACAGTAGTGTTTAGTAAAACTGACACTACCTCCTCAGCGATCACTTCTATCAACTACATAAGAGTACCCTCTTCATACTTGTTGCTATGGTAACTTAAGGCATCAAGAAAATCTCCCTTGTCCACCTCAGATGCCTTCTTCTGTAATTGAAACAATTACTTGCCAAAAAGATGATAGAATGTAGACATATAATCTTTATAGCCTCGTA